GTTTATATAAAAGAGCTCTGACTAATTGGCTTAGAAAAATAAACACATCAAGTATTTTATCAGAAAAATAGAAACTTTTCAATACTTTTTTATTCACATGATATTAGTGATCTTTTGGAAATAAAGACAGTTTTAAAGATTATTGGTAAAATAGAAAATGTCTTCAAAATTCAGACATTTGGTCTAAATTAGGTCAGATATCAGGTTTGCTAAATGCATTAAGGTCTTTGACTTTTGAAAATTGTTAGACTTACCTACTTTGGAGCCATTAGAAATTCTAACTAAGGTCTGGGGACATGCGGAATTAGCCATGCCCTCTAGCTATGCTGGAGTCAGACCTTATCTGCACTTCTGTCTGATGTCCTAGGCTCCACAGTACATAGTTAAAACCACTTGCTTATCAGGTTTTTCACCAAAAACGAAAGTTACTAAGAGTTAACACTGTAACATGTAATTGAGACTACTGGAGAAATAGTTTTACATAAAAGGTGTGTAAGGAAAGTAGAATGTGCTTTTGATAAAAGATTAAATAAGGTATAGGAATATGGTTTTTCTCAAAGGGAATGTAATTAATGTGTAGTTCAAAGGGTTTTAAAGACTGTCTTAACTTAAAGGAGTAGCAGGACAAAACTGAAGGTTTAAGCAAGTTGAAAAGTGTTTGTGGAGGGTTGGTCTTGTACAGAAAGTCCTGTGGGTATGAGCAAGTTGGCTAAGATTTGAAGGGGACTTTTTTTTTCTGTAGGTTGAACATAAAAGCCCACAAATGCAAGACCAGAATCTTGGCCCATGTGTCTGAATAACAGGGTTTTCTTAGAAAATTAATCTGTTGTTTAATGAAAAATTAACAAGAGGGGTCTTAAAAAGTTTACAGGGGTCTTAAAAAGTTTATAAAACTTCACCTTATGGTCAAACTAATTAAAACTGGATAATTTACAACATTTTATTTAAAAACTAGTTTTAGCATTAAAGAGGCAATAATGCAAACATGAAATTTGATTTTCTGTTTTGGAAAATATTTTTGTGTTATTATGTCCCAAAATTATGATATGACTTAGTATATATTATCAGTAATAATTACAATTGTTATGTTAAATTATTGTATGCCACAGAAGTAACAAATTTCCTTGTCAATCATGTCTTTAACTGTGGGTGCTCTAAAACATTTTGGCATCTATAGACAACTGTTGTCTTGTTTTGATCCTCTTTAAATGGTGGTTTTATAATGAGCTATAAAATTCTAACAGGTGTTCTTAAATGCAGTTTTCTGAAAATTTGGAGACTGTGATGTTAGAACAGAGAAAAATCTTTCAGGACTCTCATTGGTAGCTGAAATGTTCATGAATATTAAGCAGAACAGAAGTTAACTGCATGGAATGAACTAATAGAAGACTGAAGCAACCTTTTTTGTCTTTTTGCTTAAAACATTGCTGATTGTTTTTCAGAGCCAAGAAAACCTTTCTTCTGAGCTACTTACAACTTTTAATGATTGAGTAAAGTACATGTCGTCTGTAAACAAAATTTGGAGCATATTTGTTTCTCTGTTCCTGATTTCTCCAGGATTTGGCAGCTATTCACGAGAATTCTTAACTTGTGGCAATACAGTTACTTCCATAAGTGCAGTAAGAATGTTTTTCTTTTGCAACAGGACACAATTGAAGAAACCGGTTACTTTTACCAAGGCTTTGACTGGAATAGTGTGTTACCTTTAAGGAATAAAAGCTTCCTTGGGGTCAGGTGTGGTGGCTCACGCCTACAATCCCAGCACTTTGGGAGACTGAAGCGCACAGATAGCTTGAGCTCAAGTGTTCAAGACCAACTTGGGCAACATGGTGAAACCCCATCTCCACTATAAATACAAAAATTAGCTGGGTGTGGTGGCACATGCCTGTAGTTCCAGCTACTTGGGAGGCTGAGGTGGGAGGATTGCTTAAGCCCAGGGGATGCAGGTTGTCGTGAACAGAGATTGTGCCACTGCCCTCCAGCCTGGGTGACAGAGCAAGATCCTGTCTCAAAAACAAAACAAAAGAGAAAAAACAAAGCCCCTTGGGAAAACTGGCCTCATACCTTGTCTACGCAGTCCCTGCACAGGGTTCCCGATCTGTGGTAAGTAAAGAATGTCACTTTCTAACAGGCCCAGGAGCCCTAAGTTATCTTGGGACTTCAAGAGGAGAGAAATTTACCCGCCTCATGGGTATTTGAACGTACAAACCCATGTCTGGGCTTGGCTTTAGAAAAGTCTTAACAGAGATTCCTTATGGAGTGAGTTCCGTCAAAGCCAATTTAAAAAGCCTATGTGAAAAATAATTATTCTTGCTACACTTTATGCAAATAATCAGGCAGAGCACAGTAAGACTAAAACTTATTTTGCAAGTAAAGTTGATCTGCTGTGATTTATTTTTAATTAAAAAATGAGGACTAGAAACAGAAAAACTATGCTCCAAAAACAAAAAAACACCCATTGTTAGTTGTCCTTGAGTTTTTTCTGCAGTTTGAACTAATTCCTAAATTATCTGTGGACTACAAGTCCCCAAATTAATGCTTTCAAATATTGACTTTTAAAACTGGGAATTGCACTCCTTATGCTAGAACTCATTATTTACTTTGTAGTATTCTGTCTGTTCTCTTAAATGAGATCTAAAATTATAGATGACTATATTAACGCATTTGTCAGCCAGCTTGCGTGAGTATGCTCAGACAACTGCAAAGTGGTTCCACTGCTCTCACCTTGCAGTCAACACCTATACTGACCATGCCCTGGTCAGCAGGAAGAAGTTAGAGTGGTCTTTGCCCTTTTTCCTTCTTTATTAGTCAACACCTTAAGATTAAGGTATTATAAAACCCAAAGGAAAGTATTGAAACCATTGCAAAATTATAACTGAGACAGTAAAAGAGAGCCAACCTAACCAACTCCATCTTGCTTCTAAACTCCAAGTTGTCCTTGTTCATTCCTGGGCAAAGTCTGACCTAACTTTAGGGGGAACCTAGTTGGTTGGTTCTTTTTTGTTTTTTGTGGTTTTTTTTGAGACAGAGTTTTCCTCTCACTGAGGCTGGAGTGTAGTGGCATGATCTTGGCTCACTGCAACCTCTGCCTCCTGGGTTCAAGCAATTCTCCTGCCTCAGCCCTCCAAGTAGCTGGGATTACAGGTGCCCGCCACCATGCCTGGCTAAATTTTGTATTTTTAGTAGAGATAGGATTTTGACATGTTGGCCGCGCTGGTATCAAACTCCTGACCTCAAGTGATACGCCTGCCTTGGCCTCCCAAAGTGCTGGAACTACAGGCGTGAGCTACCGCACCCAGCAGTTTCAGTTTATAGTTTAAAACAAAAATAGCCCTTTCCCAAAACAAAACTCCTTCTTGCCTGGGGACTAGACTGTCTTTGCAGAACTTTGTAACAAATTCGCTGCAAGAATAGAAATGATGGTTTAGGAGTCACTCAGCTGGACGCTGCAAGAATCTGACCCTCCCCAAATTGCTCCTGGGGATAACATCACTATTGTAAAGCCTAAGATCAGTGCTTGAAAGATTTTGCAGACTGCACTTGATGGATCAGCTGGCACAATCAGATTGATACACTGGCTCATATGATCTTGTGGCTCCCACCCAGGAACTAACTCAGCCCAAAAAGACAGCTTAGGTCCCCTATGATTTCATATCTGACCCAACCAATCAGCACTCCTGAGTGGCTTTAAAAAAGTCTTTCCCCACCCATCAAACTATCCTTAAAAACTCTGATCCACACGCTTGACTGCTTGGGGAGCCTGGTTTGAGGAATAATAAAACTCCAGTCTCCTGCACAGCTGGTTCTGCATAATTACTTTCTCTATTGCAATTACCCTGTCTTGATAAATTGGTTCTGTCTAGGCAGCAGGCAAGGTGAATCCATTGGGTGGTTACATATGGGGGAGGGGAAACGGTAGGGAAGGAAACCAGGAGCACTGTCCTCAAAGGAGGGAGGGGCCTTATAGATTTAGGCCTCTCTAGAGGCTGCTCCCTCCTGAGAGAGTAAAACTTCACTGTTTCTCAGAGGGCTGCGAGGCTGGAAGGAAGAGTTTGGACAGAAATCCTGCTTTGTATAGAAGCAGCACAACCAGTTGAGAAAAAGAGGTTCACAAATTACATTTCATGGCTTTTTTTTTTTTTTTTTTTTTTTTTTTTTGAGACGGAGTTTTGTTTTTGTTGCCCACGCTGGAGTGCAATGACGCGATCTCGGCTCACTGCAACCTCAACCTCCCTGGTTCAAGCGTTTCTCCTGTCTCAGCCTCCCGAGTAGCTGGGATCACAGGCACATGCCACCACACCCAGCTAATTTTTAGTAAAGACAGGATTACATCATATTGGTCTCGAATTCCTGACAGGATTACATCATATTGGTCACGAACAATTTTCAAAAGTCAGGCTGGTCTCAAATTCCTGACCTCATGTGATCCTCCCACATTGGCCTCCCAAAGTGCTGGGATTACGGGCATGCACTACCGTGCCCGGTCTTATGGCTTTTTTATACTGATGCACCAGGTCCTTGGAATGATGCACGAACTCATTCACTCCTACTGGTGCCAGGCCCTTTGCTGGGGGCTGGAGAAACGGGGCAGACATGTACGCTGCATCATGGTAGCACCTGTCCCGCCAAGTGCACACCATGCCCCATCCACAGCCTCAGCGCTGTCACTGCTAGGAATACCACTCTCTGGCCGCACCTCAGACCTAGACTTACTGTATCAGAATCTCGGTTTTGGTCCCGAGGGTCTGGATTCGCAACAGTTCCTCACATTCCCCACCCTTATTCTTCTGCAGCTAACGTTTGAGAGCACTGGTCTGGTGCCTACTGCCACCGCAGGCGGTTTTCAGAGCAGCTCTGTGTGCTTGGCTGTGAGGCGGCAAAAACAGAGTGCTGCGGGTGGAGCCGGCGCTAGCGCCGGGGCTTCGCGCCCCTAGTCCTCCTTCCCCAGGCCCCGCTCCGCCCCCGGGTCGGGTGGCAGCCGGGTAGCCCCGCCCCTCCACGCTGGCGCCGCCCGAGGTGTCACACAGGAGGAAGCCTCGCCCCGCCCCTGCGTGCGCCGACTCTCCCAGGCCCCGCCTCTCACCCCCTTTCTGGACCCTCTGCTGGGCAGAGCCACCAGAACGACCACACGTCCCGCGCGCTCCAGGCTGCACTCGAGAGCCAGAAGAGCTCCATGGCAGCGGCGGCCAAGCCCGAGAACCTCTCCTTGGTGGTGCATGGACCGGGGGACTTGCGCCTGGTAAGCCAGGAAGGAGGGTGGGAAGCCTACCGACCCTGCCTCACCCTCCTCTGAGCCCAGCCACAGTCCTGGCTTTCCAATTCCAGCCTGGCGCCGGCCCCGCACTTTAAGCGCCCTGGCTGCCCTGATCCCTGCTGGTTCGCCTCGGGGTGTGGGGGCGGCGGGTAGCGGCCATTGGGAAAGGCAGGGATCTAGTCGTGTGCCTCCCGGAACCTAGCCCCGTGGCTGGCACGTGGCCGGTGCCCAGGACAGTTGCAAACTGATTGAATGAATCTTTCTCTCTCCTTTGCCAGCTGCAGATTCGTAGTCCAGCCTCTTGTCATTGACCTTTTCAGAGAAAATGCTAAGGCTAACTGAATTCTTTGGGCAGACAGTGCAGAGGAGAAAGGGGAGCCAGAGGACACTTAAAAACACCGAAACTTCTATTTAACTCCCCTTGCTTGGGACTGATAAACCTCCCTTACAGGATTATTATGCTCACAGGAGTACCCAGCACCTAGTACTTGCTCAGGAAGTGCCACCTCCTTCTTTCCTTCCAGTCTAAGCCTCCATCCCCAGAGCCCCTGGTGTTCCCCTTGCCTGTGCCATACTTCTGGATCTTGATAATCCCCATGTCTGTAAGGCTCCTTCTCTCCCTAACTCCCTATCTGGTTCACTTTCCAGTGGTTTTTCTTTCTAATTCTGTGCCTCTGGCCCTTTAGGATCATTCTGTATGTGTGCCCTCTACCCTGGGCCCTGCCTTTTGCTCCCTGGCTTGTGGCACGAGAGTTTAGGGAGTGGCTGAGTCAGCACCCTGGTCATGCCAAGTCTTCCTTGACAAAGTCTCTCTCAGATGGGACTGGGATGACAGTGGGTATGTGGGATAAATGCCAGCAATCTCTGCTGCTCCCCTATACCTCCTTTCCCTCAAAGTACATGTGTCAGGATCTAAACTGCAGGAATTCAGAAGTTTATCCAGATTAGCAGTTCTTGACTATTTAAGAATCTGTGGTGTCCCCTCTCTCCTCCACAGAATGCAAACAGATTGAGTTTGGCAACAATTTCGGATTGTTCAAGGACTCCCTTTAAGCACCTCTATAGACCCTCTAGTGGCCTGGGGATCCCAGACAAAGAACCCTTGCCCCAGCTGACTCTCCATTTCCTCAGCTGAAGAATGTGTCATACCCAAGGTGATAGGTTTTGTTAGTTAACAGAGCCAAGAAAAGGACTCAGACGTTCATACTCCCCATTCTGGTGCTCATTCCACTCTTCAGAGCCTCCACCCAAGGTCCTGAATTAAACTAAGGATGTTAGTGTTTATTGTTGCAAATGCTATATGGTACTATGAGTAAGGGAAAGTGGTACATCTCTACACAGCTTACAGAGTGATTTCCAATTCAGTATTTCATTCCACAAACATTCTCTGATGAAGGGGTGCCTGCCATGTGCCAAGAACTGGGCTGGGGGCCCAGAGAGGAGGACACAGCCCCTGCTCCCAAGTTTACTGAGGGAGGCAGACAAAGTCAACCATTATGACATAGTGCGAGGGCTTTGATGGAAGCCTCAGAGAGAAAAGACCTCACAGGGAGGTGCCCTTGGCCCTCTATCTGCTCAGAACCTGTTTAAAGGTCATGCAACGAAGCTGCAGAACCACAGTTAAGTTCTGCTCCACCTTAACTCAAAATCATGGTCTTCCACTGCTCAGGCAGACTACCTGTATTGTGATTTTGTAGACAAAGCCTTGAAGATTAGAGCAGGGAACTAACCTTAATCTCATCCGCTTTGCATTAGAACCCATTCTCTGACTGGATTAGGGTCTGGGCTGGGGTGGCTGTAACCTAAAGGTCTAGAAAATATGATGGGCTAGAGAATTTCACCTGTGCTTGTGGACTGGTGTACTAACTGGGGAGAAGAATTCAGAGGAGGATTCAGGAAAACACCTAGGCTCAGCTTGAGAATGGGAAGTGGTAGTAGGGTCATTTACTAGTCAGAGTAGATTAAAATGATGAGATCAGGTATGAAAATTTGAGTTTAAGATGTCTCTGGAGGCTGGGTGTGGTGGCTCACACTTTTAATCCCAGTACTTTGGGATGCCAAGGTGGGCAGATCACTTGAAGACAGGAGTTGGAGACCATCCTGGCCAACATGGTGAAACCCTATCTCTATTAAAAATACAAAAATTAGCTGGGCGTGGTGGCATGCCCCCATAAGTCCCAGCTACTCAGGAGGCTGAAGCAGGAGATTCACTTGAACCTGGAGGATGGAAGTTGCAGTGAGCTGAAGTCAAGCCACTGCACTCCAGCCTGGCTACAGAGAGAGACTCCATCTCAAAAAAAAAAAAATTAGCTGGGTGTGGTGCGGCATGCCTGTAATCACAGCTACTTGGGAAGCTTAGAATCACTTGAGCCCTGGAGTCAGAGACTGCAGTGAACTGAGATCGTGCCACTGCACTCCAGCCTGGACAACTGAGCAAAACTCTGCCAAAGAAAAAAAAAAAAGATGTCTCTATGACAAGACACAAGTTACCTTTGAGAAATTTCCTTGGGTGTAGGGTCTGGAGTGCAGGGATGCTATCTGTGGTGGAGATGTAAACTCCGGAGTCCTTTGCTCCTCTACTGAACAGTACTGTACCGATCCCCCAACCAGGGGGCATTTGGAAATGTGTCAGGGAGGTTTGATTGTCACAGTAACTGAGGAGCTCTACTGCAGACTTTATTCATTTTACAGCACTGTCCTGACAACAGAGTTGTCCTGCCCCAAATAGTGCCCTATGGGGAATTGTGAATGGCTGAGCTTGCCTAGGCTGAGTGAACCATGGAGAGTGAGAAGGAAAGAAGAGGAGGACATTAACCTGGAGAGAGCCCCAACACTGGAAGGGAAACGGCAGAGAGTTGTCATCAGAGGAGACTGACTAGGGAGGCCTGTGCTGCCTCAGGGCACCTGCGGCTCAACATAGACCTTCTGGGCCCTCATCACTCCTTCCCAGGCAAGGTCTTCCACCAGCACCTCCACAGGGCTCACCCCCAACCTCCAGAGTGGCATCACTGCTCCTCCACCTTTTCCTTAACTCAAATAGGCTCTGTGGCTTGGGATTGGGGTCAGTGGTACCAGTAGTGAACCAGAGATAGCAACTAGGAGGAACAATCCCGGGGAAGCTTTGGGGGGAATCACCCATTTTCCTCCCTGCAAGAGGACCAAAATGAAACCCAGGATTTCCTGGGCTTAATAAATTGTCAGCGGTTGCATTTTGGGAGAAAAAACAAAACAAAACCTTAGTTGGATATGAATTACAAAACAGATAAGGGGAAGTGGGGAGAATTTGACTGTTTTCTTCTTTTGTTGTAAGACACCCAGCCACAGATTAAAAACCCTTCAATTTCTGGCAGGCTGTGGCCTGTTTAGGTATACTGGGAGTTGGGTCTGCTGATAAAATGGTTCAGTGCCTCAGGAACTCCTATGAAGCGAGTTGTTTAGCGAAACTCTCATTCCTAAAATCTTTTCAGAAAATGTATAAATTTTCAAGGGAAAAGTGTATCATTTAAATTACATCATTATGGCTCTCCAAAAAGTGTATAAATCATTCCTAAAATCTGAAGCAGGATTCCAAAGCGTTCTGAAGCAGGAAGCAATGGCTGAACCCTTCCCAGAGCTGCCTTCCTGCCTGAGCTAAGGCCAGGAACCAGCCAGCATCCAGGGCAGTGGTTCCGTGGGGAAATGCGGCCTGGTCCACTTTACTTGTCCCCTAAGTGGCAGGAAGGAAACCTATCACACAGCCTGCCTACTGCCTAAGGAGAAAACACCATTCTCTTCTTTCTTGATGTGTGGCTGCAGGGAACAAAAAACTAAACTCCTCTCCTACTAATTAGTTAATGATCACCTTGACCACAGCAAAAAGGAGCATTTATAAATTGGGTGGTAAGTCAGACACACACACACTAAGACAGGTGGTTTTCTTTCATAATGTGGAGAAGAAAACGAAACAATAATCTGAGACTTAAGGACTTTTGCTATTCCTCTCCTTTTAAATAGAGAATGTTTAGGAGTTGGAGCGAGCGAGAGGGACTGATGACCAGGTTGATGCATAAAGAAGCAAACAGTGTCAGCTTGCTGGCATTCTCTTTAAATGGAAATAGTACGAAATTCCCAAACCAGGCTGGGGAGCCAGAGTGGGGTTTAGTTCCCATTCTAATGCTGCTAGTTATATGACTCAACAAATTATTTTCCACTTCAACTTCCCAGTGAAATGGGAATAATAGTAGTATTCATCTTTTGGTTGTGTGAGGATTCAGTGGGACCAGCCGTGCGTGTTAAAGGCCTAGCACAGCATCCAGCACGCTGTTAATGGTATGTGCTAACTGTGGAGATGAGCAGGAGGCTATTTCAAACTTAAAAACAGGCGGGTAGACCAGGGCCTTCAAACACATGGACAGTTTTCCTAACCAAATTATTACAATGTGGGCCCAGGCAATAATCTTGTATTCTACTGTATTTACTGGTTTAATTACTTTATGCCCCTTTGATCAGTATATAGAAACCCAGAAGCTTTCAATTAGGAAATGAATTACTGGTTCATGAAATTAGGATATAAAACAGTCTAATTAGTTTTTCCCTCACAGAAGCTATGTTTGGTGGTGGGGATGATAGGCAGCTGTTTTTTTAATATAGGTTTCACTTGAATGGTAAGGAAATGAGGGGAATTAATATGTTGACTGCCTACTGCATTCCAGGCATGTGCTGGAGACTTTAATACAGGGCTTTATAAACTGTCCACAATGAAGGACCAGTTTTATTTTTTCCAATCAGCCATGGACTGATATGTTTGCATCAGTATATCTGAATGTTGTGTCATGTCAAAATGCTGTGAACAGCCAGGTAAAGGTGGCTCACATCTGTAATCCCAGCACTTTGGGAGGCAGATCACTTGAGGCCAGGAGTTTGAGACCAGCCTGGCCAACATGGGAAAACCCTGTCTCTACTAAAAATACAAAAATTAGCTGGGCATGGTGGTGTGTGCCTGTAAT